GGGTTTCCATGACCTCTGTCCCAAAGGCAGATGGACCCTGCAGACTTACAGGAAAGGGCAGCAGGCACAGAGCCAAGAGAGGTTGTTCAGAGAGTTGACAAAGATTTCAGCACCTAAATGAAGTGACTTCCTTATTTGAGTGCCTGAAACTGCAGCTGACATCAGCACTGAAGCATTCAGGAGATCTTTGTGGCAATTCTGCAGTTCCAATCCAGGCCTGCAAAGCTGACCTCCTAACCATACTTTAATAGCCAGACAATCATTACCAGGACAGACTGTGGAAATGTGTAATTTGCACTGCCTGGATATACCCAATTTTTTTCCCATTACAATAACAAATGTAACTGCAGAAGAGACATCTAGTTGGCAGAGTTGACATTTCAACTACACAAAGAACATGAAGTCCCTCCATCCCTCCACAAACGCAGCAGTCCTGTGATTGAGGCTGCTGTCTGAAAGAGACTTTCCTGTTGAACAAGGTACTTGCTAAGTTTAAGAATTTGGCTTGCTATGAGTTGTGCACTTCCCAGCGTGACAGCATTTTTAGCCTCCGTTTTATAATTCTGTTTACGACTTGCCACAAGTAATAATTAATGTCAAGCTGTCAACATGATAAAAAAAAAGAAGAAAAAAGAAAATGTAAAAACCAAAGATTGAAAAGAACTCTTATTTGTTTAAAGATCAGTGTGGTTCTGGACCTCTTCAAGGGACTTTTGGGGGCTGAGTCCATACCATAAAATGGAACAAGCCAGGAAACATTTTCTGGCCCTGAGACCAACTACCATGACAGCTTCTATTCACATGTAAGCTCTCACAGCCTCCTCTAACAATAACACCATGAACAACACCCAACCTCTGCTGTCCTTTCAGCTGTGCCCAGACACTGCCCTGAGGGAGTGCTAGTTGGCACGGACCAAACTGCCTGCACCAAAGTACATCATAGAATCACAGAATCGTATCAAGGACTATTGTAGCAATTTAATGGTATGGATGACTGTATGGTATTGCTTAGGCCTATGTTATGATCTTATTTAGTTTGAAACAGATATTCTTTTAAGGCTAGGATCTGTATTAGCTGAGCATGCTATAATATGAAATCTTCTCAGCCTGTCTGGTCTACAGAAACAAGGACAGGAAGCTGAAGAGAACCACTTCACACATGACATGGCACAGACTTCAGACATCCTTTAGGTTCACACTTTCTTCAGGAAGGCAGGACCTAAGCAGAGGTGCCTGGGATAATCCCATACCACCACCCTCCTGGGTTAACCCTGTAACACCACCAGGCAGTGGGAGCCCCAGCCAGGACCTCACAGAGGCTGCAGGAAATTCAGCTGGTGGTTCCAGGCAGAAGACTGCAGACCAGAGGCTGAGATGGTGCCAGGTCTTGCACTTGACTGACTCAATAATCACTTCCGAGCAGGATGCTGCACAACTTGGCTAGGAAAGCAGCGCTTGTGGGGTGCAGTTGGTTTCTTGCCCAATCTAATGAACACAAGCAATATATCACACAGAGAGTGACTGCGACATGGGAGGAGCCTTATTCTTTCTTCCCCAGGCAGCCTGTTAGGGTGGCTGTTCAGTCAGTGTTTGGCATACCTATCAAGCACTGCCAGAAATGAATTCAGAGAGAAGTGAAGTGCAAGTGTTGGGATGTCCAGCTTTAAAACAATCCAAGCTGGTCAGACACTTCATCTTCCCAAAGCCTCCACTGCTGAGCTCTGCTGTAGACAGGATATTACACCAGTCCGATCCTACAAGGATCCTTTATATCCATGCTGCATCTGAAAACACTGTAAAACCCCAGAAGGACTCACCTGTTCTGAATCTCACAAACATGTCAAAAATATAGATGATATCAGAGGCATAATCCAAGAACAGCCATAATTTAATGTGGTCCTCTTGTAGCTCATCAAAGCAGGCTCTAAAGAAAGAAAGACACACACACATACAAAAATTCCACCAGCTGCATAAGAAGAGTACTTGCAGTGTGTTAGTGCACATTACTGGCACTGAAAAATTACAGGCAGCATATCTCCATGCCCAGACACCTGCACACTAGAGCTATGTCTAAACAGACACTAGGATCTTTCAGAATTCAAAGGTGTTCAGGCCAGGAACAAAACTTGAACACATATATGCCACACATGCGGCATACACAAATCCCTACAATTACACATGCATCGGATTTTGTGGGATACACATTTCCATCAAGATAGGTAATTCCCAAATACAAGATTTGTTTCTGAATGGCAAGCTATCCTCATCTGTCCCAGCCATCTGACACAGCGTAAGTTAACCATTTCCACAGGACTCCATTACTTTGACTCAATCTGTTTTCCACATTTTACAAGGGAAAATAAATACTCGAGTAAAACCTTCCTGCCCTTCAAGCATCTACAGATGCCTAGTGTTAGTTTAAGATCACCCAGCACTGCCCAGACCCCTCTCTTCTGTTCTCTACTGGGTGACTAGAAGACCTATGTCTAGCAGTGGCTGCTGAGCCTAGTGACCAAAGCCTTATCTCTGCATCTAGCCAGCAGGTGGCACACAGAGCCCACAGCCAGCGCTCATGAGGATGCTCATCGCAAGTTACAACACACTGACTGCGAGAAAAAGATAAACACCTGCCGCCTATTCCCAGTCGTATGTATATCCTGTATCCCGAAGGGTATATAGACTGTAAATCTTCTAGGCAAGCCACCCAAAAAATACCATAGGGAAATAAGAGGATGATTTACACAGGAAACGAGACACTAAATTTGAAACCTAAAGTTATTAAGTTAAAGCCATACCTGCACACCAGCATACACCAGTTATAGAACACGGGTGCTGCAATTATGGTCAGCCAGTTGTAGTAAATATTGCTTGAAGGATCTATCACAAAGATTTCGTTTTTCTTCCTGGAAAGTAAAACGTGAAGGTTTACACTGGATATGTGACGAAGTGACCCTGCTGGACCTCCCTCTTCTGGAGGCTGCTCATCTCATGATGAACTCACAGCTGCCAAAGAAGAGAAAGCATCCATGCAGGCAGCTCCAGGTGAGATTTAAATATTAGCTTAATCTCATCTGACATGCTTTATTTATTTGTTTGACCCAACTTTGGAAAAAGTAAGTATGAGTGGAAAGAAAACCACAGATACTCACACTGCCCCAGTTTTTCTGCATATGACCCCCACTGAAAAAAAGTAAAATGTTAATTGTTTCTTATTACCATTCCAGCTAGAAGGCTATGGGCCATTGCTAGAAAAAGAGCCTTCCTTTGCAGATTAGTTTTAATGGGTTGGGCAAATTCTGTTCTGGAAATGACTGCATGAGCACACACTTAAACAAATAAAACACCTATGTATTGAAACACATTTATACAAGTAAGACTCTGTGTGCATACACGCATATAGTGTGTGACTAGAACTAAGACTTATTATTATGTAAAAGCAAATTTCACATATTCACAGTCCTGGCTTCCTAGGCCTCACAACAATGAAGAGATGCTAAACGAAGCGTACAGGCCTGAAATTTAAAGATTTAAAGATTTAAAAAACAGCATGGCTAATGGCACATGTAGGGTATGCTCAGAAGTGCCCTTCCCCAGCACAGGAAAAGTTGATATGGAAGAGACAGCAATTAGGCATGTTGTATGTAATCAAACGAAATATGTGTTAGTGGTTTGTGAGGTCCACAGATGCAGAAGTTATTCCAACAGTAACATGCGATATCATGATCTGTGAACTCTTATAGTAGTGTGGGGAATATGTTACTGGGCAATGCTTCATATGTATTTGTTGTGAGTTCTCCTAATCCCCAAGAATGCAAATATATTAAAATGTAATGATAATTTATTTCATATTTGTATTTCTGGCATTAACCTTGCTGAATGTCCAGATGATAATCTTAGTAAAGGAAGCAGCTTTCATTTAAAAAGTATTTACTTTGCCATCTTAGAATCATAGAATGGTTTGGGTTGGAAAGGACCTTAAGTTCCAACCCCCGTCATAGGCAGGGACACCTCGCACTAAACTATGTCACCCAAGGCTCTGTCCAACCTGGCCCTGAACACTGCCAGAGATGGAGCATTCACAACTTCCTTGGGCAACCCATTCCAGTGCCTCACCACCCTCACTGTGAAGAACTTCTTCCTTATATCTAATCTAAACTTCCCCTGTTTAAGTTTGAACCCATTACCCCTTGTCCTACCACTAGAGTCCCTAATGAAGAGTTCCTCCCCACCAGCCTTGTAGGCCCCCTTCAGATACTGGAAGGCTGCTATGAGGTCTCCACGCAGCCTTCTCTTCTCCAGGCTGAACAGCCCCAGCTTTCTCAGCCTGTCTTCATACGGGAGGTGCTCCAGACCCCTTATCATCCTCATGGCCTCCTTTGGACTTGCTCCAACAGCTCCATGTCCTTTTTATGTTGAGGACACCAGAACTGTACACAATACTCCAAGTGAGTATCAAGTGTCTTCACAACAAGTTTTGAGCCATTTTCTCTAGAAACTGTTCAGCACCTCAGAACTGGTGACCATGAAATACGGTCTTCACATGACAGAGTACAGCACCCTCTAGACCTCAAAATGTTTCTTTTCTTTGCCAAAATGTTTCAAACCCTTCTGGCTATTGCAAAGCTCAGGCTCTCACTATACAGTAATTAGAAGCCAAAAGAGAATCCTTAGAGCAAAGGCTTTCTAAGAAAATGAAGCTTTGATTAAGAAAGTCAAGATCTTGAGACCAAGCAGATTCTATCTGGGAGCGATTCCCAATTACATGTCACCATGCCTACATAGCACATGCCACCATATACATACACATAAACTTGCAGTATAGTACCCGAACATACTCCCTAACTGGAAAGTCCATTCAAATGCATATTTTTATCTGTTATCACTGATATTTTTAATGACTAAATAATAACTTATGACTAAATAATGACTACTTAATACTAAACTGCACTACATTTGGGTGAACTTTGGGGGAACAAAACAAAAGCAGGATCCATTTCTGTCCAAAGCATTCCAATGATCTTGTTTGATCACTGAAAACAGGACAGTTGCAGAAATACAGCATCTCCTAAACAGCAGAAGCAAACTTCAGTGATCATCAGTAACAAACTGCACCATATTAATTAATTAAGTATGCTAGTCAGTGTAATACCTAAACTTATAAGTAAATCTATAATTCTCTACAGGTGAGATTTTTCCTCTTAGTCTAAACCAGACTTTTGGTTCATCTGCTCTGAATTATTATGGACATTCCAGAAGAATTAAAAGTCTGTGCAGATCTGCAAAGCAGGCTGCTAACTTAAAATGCCCTCAGAGTAAAAAAGCGATCTTCAACAGCAAATCAAAGTGAGCAGAACTAGCTGAATTTCTTTTTACTGGCCTAAGAAGCTGTTGATGGCACGTCTAAACACAGGTCTTAGAGATGCAACAAGTTTGTTAGGCAATTGCACCTTTCCAAAGGGAAAAATGTATTAAAGACATGCTAGAACTTCAGTATGAACTGGA